AATCCCTTCGAGACGATAAATCACTTCCCCCCTCGGAATCGGTCGGATGATATTCCTTCTTCTATCCTCGTTGCGAATTAACCTTTCTAATAATAACTCGAGGAAGAGAAGGGTCCCTTCTGGCGGCCGATTAATGTACGGGTGTACGCTCTCTCGGAAACTGTCGAGGCGCGCACGTGCAGCCAGGTGTGGACGAGCCTTAAGATAGTATTAGCGTTTGCGGTGTGCTCGCGTGGCGGGCGGCAGTCGCGACCCACATCCCGGAGATAAAGTGCTTCGAGAGTCCGCTCCCCGTCCAGTGGTTCTCATCGCGACCCCGCCTATCACCGCCACCATCTCTTATCACCGAACCCTTATCATCCAATCTCTTCCCTGTAAGATAACGTTTCCTAACCTCGCCACGAATAGTTAATAATAAAATTGCCACCATACAGGGATCAAGTATTGGAAATAGTTGGCAGATACTCGTGGTTGAATCATTCGCTGATTGACCATTCCCTCTTCTCAATTCTGTCGGAATTCAATGATATTGATTATCTACCTATTCGCAGGAAAAAGAAGAGAGAAAGAACGTGATCGTCGTGTACACGATCCACGAGCATCCGTCCTTCGATCATTTTAAGAGGCGCAAATTCAACCTTGACCAACGGCTTCGTTCGAATCGAAACGTTCTAGGCGCGAAAGTGGAAACGGATCCGGTGAGCGACGCTGAGCCGCGAGGTCCACTCCCCACATTTTTGAAGACGTCGGCCAGCGTAGACCGCCCATACGTCCGCTCGCATTCTCCCGTGCGCGCTCGCGTGCACGCACGCGTTCGAGGAAGAAGAAATAGAGAAGAGAGAAAAAGAAAGAAAGAGAGAGAGAGAGAGAGAGAGGATAGAAGTTGGTGGAGGTGGAGAAGGTGGTGGAATCTCTGGGTCGTGTGTGCGTGGCTGGCTTCGAGAGAGGCTGCGCCGAGAGAGAACGCTCCTGGAAGTCGGTGGTAGTAGTCGGGTAAGCAAGCCGGGCTGTTCGCCGCGCTATCGATGCATCTACGCCTCGGATTACGCCTCGGTTTCTCAACGTTCACCTCCTCTTCCTTCACCGATCCCCTCCTCGCCCTTCCTCCTCCACCGCCTCTTTCACCACCGGCCAACCACTTCCACGAGTCGCTTCGTTTCATCGAGTGTCCCCGTGATCAAGTAGCTCGGCCCGTTTCCCTTTTCGATGGAACGTTGCGTTATCGATCGTGCGCACGCTTCCAGGGGAACGTGGCCGTGCGGGCGGGCGGAGGAGCTTCCGGAACGGGAAGTCGAGGAGAAC